ACCGTGCCAAACTCCATAGCCCACCATGCATCGATTTGAAACTGCCCGCTTTACCCATGCGTCGCTTTGTGCTGGCCTGCTGAATAACCTCCTGGTGGTGCCAGCTGGTTGGTTCGGGTTAATCCTGGGCCAGCGAATGGTTCGGTGGCAGTGGTTCAGGAGGTGGTGAGTTCCCGCCTGGCAAGCGTTCTACCCTAAAACACCACAAAGGTCTGCTTAACTACACTGCGACGTGGCGGATGTGACTCGCCACTAAATAAAGTCACTGTCATGAACACTCCACGGATGTCAGTCATCCAGTACAAGTCTTCTATTTTACACCGTCTCAATCAGACAGCCTGACAGAACACAACCACAACTATGGCATCATGTCTAGACATTCAAGCAACACAGCTACAAGCATTCACACCGACATACACCACAGATCGAATATGCTACTACTAACCTTGCAAAATTATTGTACCTTTACCGATCATTCGTCTTGATATTGCTTTGATCATGCCTATTCAGGCGTGCCTCGCTATGTCGAGAATAGACCATTTCTGATATACCAAGCCAAAAAATGTATCATGTTTGCATCACGTTTGAGCTGCAACCTCGCGGCTGAGACTTAACCGCAGATATACAAACGCCTATTCCATCTGGATTTACCTCTTGTTATAATCCTTTCCAACACAGCAATGGTGTCTGGCAGTAGCTGAAATAACTGATTTTTATGCTATTAGAAGGTTTAATGGGGTCAGGTGTCAACTTGCTATCTCTGAAGTCTGACTGGCATTTGACAGCACCCCAAACCCACTTCCTCCAACCAGACTTTGCCGAAACCCAAGAAACATGCAAATACCAGTGTCAGATGGGCCGTTGTTGCATCAAAGTGCACTCCAAAATCAGACGCTGCCTTCATTTATTACCACATCGAAAACTAATGTGAAAGGCGACGCTGCACGGATACATAGCAAATCGCTCGGTGTTCCAGTTATGGTCCATACTCCAGGAAAGACAGTCAGAAACAATTGGATGCTTTATCTATGATATGTACCAAAGTTCCTGAAGCAACATCGAATTCTTTGCATGGGAAACAGGTGGATGACCTGATCCAATGAAAGATCATAAGCAACCTCCTCGGTATTCTGACTAAACCATCCAACTTGACGGGGATCACTCGCCACCCGAATTCCAAACATTATGGCGAAGCCAGAATTCTTCGAGTTGTGCCAAACTCTGTCGATGAGGTGGAAGCAGCGTTGCTTTCGACTGCTCACTTCCAGAACGAAATCGGTTTGGTCCGATTCTTTCCAGACATTTCATGGGGCGAGCGCGAGAGAATAAGGCAGAGCGTAGAAGAGTTCCAGCTAAACACCGTAGCAAGAAGCGTTTTTGTCAACGGCGTCCCCCAGTCTCACGAGCACGATGTATGCGAAGCAAAGACACACAACCAGGAGCAGTGGCGCTATGTTCGTGAGACCCTACTCTTGAATGACGTTGCAGCTACTTCTCTCTTGAGGCTGCTAAGATCAGAAAACTGTAAATGGTGCGGCCCAAAAATAATTCAATTTGCGCTACAAACTAGGCAGATGGCGCTTACGCTACTGGAACGCTGACATTCACTTCGGAACAGACTGCCCACCGAGCTCCGGTTCAATGCGATGAACGAAACTGCCGTCCGACTTAAAGCACCACCGCAGCAGGCAAACGAAGTAGTGATCTTATCCGAAATTCAAAACGGAAAAAGGTCAAAAGGAAGTGAGGATGTTCCCGTGCAATCCTGGCCGTGCTCCTCAAGCGTTGTGCACATTGAGTTGTTAGAGGGGCTAAGCACGATGCCACTGCACCCAACTCCAAGCGACTCGCTGATGATACCACAGAAAAACGTTTAGCGGCCGACCATATAATGGTCGGCATAACCTCTCATCCCAGCCACAAGTGTCTCGGATCCTTGCTGAGAACCGAAACGCTTTCCTACATGTACACGAATGTAAGGCCTCCTCAGCAAAATTGCCGAGTTTCGGTTGCACCAGGCAACAAACGTTCATGATCTCATCTCCATAACCGATAACTGGTCGCGCTCAGGGATTACGGATGCCGAGAGCGCGATTCAGGGAATGTCCTTGTTACAACACGATTGTCCCAGCAGGGTAGGTGGCGATGTCCTATACTATCGTAACGACTTACAATGCGAACCGCTGGATGATCTGAGGACGCAGGTCACCGATTCGTTATGGTGCCATTTGCGTCTCAGACACAACGAAAACTGCTTCGTGGCAATCGTATAGCGCTCCCCATTGTCCACTCCAGAGATGGATTCCCACCTAATATTATCACTGACGAAATGCTCACGCCCAACTTACAGCACGTTCTGATTTTCGGCGATTGTAACGTACAAGAATTGGAAAGCTCGGCATCCCCCATCGAAACATACAACGATGAACTGCAAGACCTTATCGCAAGTATCTTGCTCTACAATCACATCACCTCACCTACCAGGTACAGAGCTGGTAATAAACTATCGGTACTTGACCTCGTACTTACCAATGAGAAACTCATGATAGACAGGCCATTTATAGACACCCAATTGGGGTTAAGCGATCATGTCACCATTCTTTATAACTATGTGCGTTACGCTGAATATCTGGAGCAACACACAGAACTAACACGTAAGAACAACCTGAAAAATTGTCTGACTGTTCTTAACGCCCATACATTTTATTCACTTTGAAGTTTGGACGGATTTATTAGTGAAACTTTCATGCACAACTGCCTAATTTTTTAAAGTTCCAGTGGAATTTTACACGCACTCGAAGGAGCTTGCCCCAGGCTATACTAATAGTATAAAGTAGTGCACATCCAACAGTGCCTAATTGCTGCATCGTATTTTATAGCCACCAGTTACGAAACCGTTTAATGCTTTCATCTAACACCTAAATTAAGACTGAGGAAGGCGCATCACTGACGAGACCCAGAAGGTCAAAACACCGATGTCTGATGCTTTTCAAGACTAGCCTAAGACTGCTGGCTGAGGGTAGACCGTGAGGAACTAGCTCTAACATCCAAATGCACAAAGCAACCAGACTACGGTGTCCGCTGGAATCATTATCGCTCGATATCGGAGCTTCGCATGCCGAAAATTTGCTTGAATAACGTGCGTCACATATTGTGTCAGCACGCTTAACCAATTCAAAGGAGCAGGCACGTGACCCCGTCTGCGGGAGCGGATGTACCGATTATTACCTCGCTCACTTTTCAGGCCTAGTCCGAATCAACAACTGAATGCCGAAGATGGCCCACAACGAGGTACAAGCTAGAACAACGCCCAACAAGCCCCAGTTAAACAGCATTTCAGACTGTAGAAAAACGGTTCGGGTCGGGATATTGTGTTTTGGATCAGATCCCTAAGAATCCACAATGCATACAGACACTGGTTGTAACTCAGCCAAAACATCTTACTGAGAGGTCGCCATTTGAAGTTTGCCACACAGTATAGCCCGTTGAAATGTTGCCAGAACAATTTCTCCACTCGTGTATTTCATTCTTAGGACACTTTTCCGAATTTAACATATCTACTTCATGTTAACGGAATCCAAAACTAAACGTCGCATTAGACCACATGTATTACTTGAGTTCAGCCAAAGTTATTGGGACTGTGTGCACATGTGAAACATACGGTGAGTCTACCGATAAGTGTTACTTTATTGTGATATAACCAACGTTTGCTTCCAATCTACTTACGGGACTTGTTAAGTATTAGCTTTTCTACACACCTGATGCGGAGAGACAATGTTGTAGAATACGTGGTGATTTCGCTACTCTAACCGGTAATGACGGGTCACCTGGAGGTAAGTAAGAGCAGCTTGGAGAAATATGTTTAATGAAATTCAATAATGAAGTAATCGGATGGAATGTCTCATGTTTTTACTTAAACGGCCTCTCTTATCCCGAAATGAAATGCATTCCCGATGGGGTGAATGGATTCTGAATAAATCGCCATACGGAATCCATTTTAAATGTGGCCACTACAATGGCAAATTGAAGTCATTTTGCTGGCCGTTAACTATTACAGCCGACAAACACGATCTAAAATCGCCTGGGAAAAGTCGGTATCCGATTTTGCTTGCGGCCCACGGGGCATGTTACACAGTCTTGAAGTTTGTCGGATTGCATGTTTGTTGCGCTCAAAGGTGCGCACAGCACTTGCAACTAATGCTTTTATGTACCCGATTATCCAGTCCTCGCAAGTGAACCGCTACTAATGGCCCGAAAAGGGTGAGAGATGCTGACTTGTTCGCTCAGTATGACTAGACAAACGTTTTGGGAACAGACCAGCGTACCCTATTAGCGGACAGATGAGAGCACTGTTTCATGCAAATACTTGCTCATACACACATCTTTCCCTCAATCGTAATAGCAACTTAGGTTAGACATAAGAGGCCAACCTGCTCGTTTTAATGGTTTAATGTGTACAGCTCTGGCGTTAACTTATATGATGTATTAAGCGAAACTTCTAAGTAATATGTTTTACAGTCATAATGTTTAACCGTTCACACATACTGTCTTTCAAAATGCTGGATTCCTGGGACCAGTCAGATTGCCCGAACTTAGACAGACCATACTAGTTGGTGGCTAGGGAACTCAGGTGTTCCAAGGCGGTTTGTCTGTTTTTGTGGCGACAATCCACTGACACAGATTTGGCAAATTAATGGACCAGCTGGCGAGTATGCATCCATGTTCGCTCTCCTGGTGGACCGGCCGATAGGGATCAGTACTGAATTAGGGATGTCAAATCTTTGGCAAGTTGACACATTGAAACTTTGGAGTAAGTGCTTGACAGGACGATTTAAGGGAGGTCAGAATTAGAGAACGCTACTCTATCCAACATCGCACGGGTTCCTTTGAATACATGGTTCTGCGACAAATATGCAATAGAACCGTTGGGTCAGGATTCGTCTGCTATGCTTCAGGCATTAGAATCGGAGTCCCGAAAAGGGTGAAAAAACTATACTAACCTTCTTCTTGGCCTCTTGAAAAGCGCATTCATTGGTCCACATATCATATAAAATCCCGAAGCGATCAACCTCACGATGAGAGTACAATGCGATGTCAACATCAGCAGTTCGACCCTGAGAGAAAGTGACAAATTTACCACAGAATGAACATATAAGTATCGAAGGTAGTCGACAATTGTGGGACGGTCGCTCAATAAAAATAGAATAGAATAGTGAACAGGACGTTCAGAGGTGATGAGAAGTCGTCTTATCTGGCAGGTGACACTTGGTATGACAAAATCCGAAGAAGAATTTATAAGAACGAATCAAAAGGGGAGGCGAATGTAGTGGGTACAACCTACACTAGGATCAAGAATGAAAGTGCGCTGAACTGGTGATAGAAGACGCAATATTGAGTCGTAATTACTGAAACATCAGATACAACATTGAACGAAAACTTGTATACATGCAGCTATCCCCGATACACTAGGGGGAAAATGAACACAAGTTCACCCATGATTTTCCATGCACCGCTATTTTAAAACCTAGATCGAAAAAGAGTATATAAGGGAAGTGCAACTCAACAGCGAGAAAAGAAGTGCATAAAACACTTATCTAACCTCCGCGTTGGCTTGTTTTCGCTTGAAGTTCGAGGTTCCCCGAGAACACGTATCCTTCTGAACGAAGGCAGTGGCAAGCAATAACAAGTCTTCCTCCAATTTTCTGAAAATGAAGTAAAATCACGATGAAGAGCATAGTTATTTTAGTTAACATCGGTGCGATCAATCTAAGCAGAACCACACGAAAAAGTTGAGGTATGCAGGATATAGCCTATGTAAATAGCCCAGTGGAGACAAAGGAAACGAAGGAAGTTTGACGTGACATATGAGCACAGAAGGATTGCCCAGAAGCACAGGCAATATCGAATGCCTTTTAGGTAGTAGTGCTCTTGCTGATGAATGAGTACGTTTCCAATGCCCAATACCCCTCCCAGAATTCAATGACCCTAGGATTACCCGCACGTCTCCCACTCAAGTGGCGAAGAGTTACGGTTAGAGCTTTTAACTACGCAGCCTAAATTGCCAACAACCCACGTGTTACCTGACAATTAATCCACAAAAATTCCAGTGCTTCTCATAAAACCGCACGTTTCATTCTGACATAACAAGTGACACGGTGTGTGAATAGGCAACTTTGACAAAGCTCCATACATTAAAAATCGGAAGACGCTGACATTATCGGTGGTGATGTACAATGTGTTTCAGAAGTCACGTCCGGTTTCAGACCGTAGCTCGGTGAACGAGATAAACAGCTTAGGGTGACACGAGAGCATACTAAATTGCCAACTGTCCAATGGTAGATGTTGGCCTGTCTAAATTTCCCTCGCCCGACCACAGGAGTGTGAACGACTGCATTGATGGTGGAATGCCAGGCCAGCGTGCCAGCATTCTCAGTAGTTACGCACTGATGTTGAATGGACAAGTCGTGTTCACCAGGGGTCATGGCACCAAGTCGATATTCACAGGTAAGCCGATGGCCTATGCTCAAGACTTTGAACTTCGCCACGCTGAACTGGAGCAGATTATCCGATGACCCACGCATAAGCCCTGTCGAGATCGCTTTGCAACGCCATGTGATCATCCACTGTACTGATGTCATGCCAAATTTTGACACCATCTGCAATTCGACTGCAGTACACTAGCAAGATCGTTACTGAATACTAGGAACAAACGTGCCACAATTGGATCGGAAATTGAGCTGCGGACTCTCACATTCAGCTAACATTGAGTGAGGAAGTTGCCGATCTAACCGAGCACAAAGTCACCGATTCCATAGCTTCGAAGCTTACACAGGAGAATGCGGAGGTCCAAACGATCGAACGCTTTCGAGAAGTCCAGGTAGACGACGTCGACTCCCACTCTGGCATCGGCTGACTCTGTCCAGCTTGCTCGGGCTAGAAGCAAGTTTGTAGTGCAAGACCGATTTCGACGGAATCCGTGTTGCTGTGACACTGGGATGTCGTTGCTCTCAAGGTATCCCATGAGCGACTCTGCGATTATACCTTCCATTAGTTTGGATAAAACTCGGAGAAGAGTGATTGGACAGTAGTTCGGGGGCTCCGCACGATTACCAGTTTTGTAAATAGGAATGACTAGTCCATGTTTCCACATTGTGGGAACCCGAATTTCGTCGAGACAACGTAGCAAGAACCGAACTAATGGTTCGGCAAGATTCATGGCCGCTATCTTCAATGCCTTCGGTTTGATGTCGTCCACGCCAGGTGAGCTGTTCACGCGCAATGACATTAGCGTTTTCATCACATTGATTGCTTTGAACGTTACGTGGGTTAATCCTGGTGGTGATGTGAGCAGTGTCAAGCGGGTGAAATGATGGTTCACTCTGGAACGTGCGGATGAAGTGTTGGCGAAACATGTTGGCCGCATCTTGTGTAGTGACGAGGACGGATGGTTTGCAGAATCGGTAACTGGATTCGACTCCTGATATATTGTTCGGCAAGTAATCCGTTCAAACGTAAAAATTGTCGTTCCCTTCTTCGCCGCACCTGTTTTACAACCAACTTTCCATATAATGGTTATTTCCCCATTGTCTGTTAATGCATTCACTGACATCGCGAATGTTTCCCGGTACCCATCCCACACAACGTGACAATTTCACACACAGCTGTTCGACCGGGACGGAAGCGAGTGGCCTAGCTACTCACTCCGGTCGTGCGCCTGACCGCGCTCACTCATTTCGTTTGGTTTCGTGGTAACGTTCAGACCAACATCCGTTCTCCAAACTCCTCTTTGTTCTTCCGAGGACAAAGTATTGTGTGTGTCGGGTTCGTGGCACTTACAATCCCAACTGAACGCAGCGGCGAAATTCATTACAAATCCCAAGTTACTGTATAGACACGTCAACAAGCTCCACAGTGTGCAGCACTGGATCCAACTTTTAGGTGCAACAGATAGTCTGGCGCAAACTACACAAGATGCGGCCAACATGTTTCGCCAACACTTCATCCGCACGTTCCAGAGTGAACCATCATTTCACCCGCTTGACACTGCTCACATCACCACCAGGATTAACCCACGTAACGTTCAAAGCAATCAATGTGATGAAAACGCTAATGTCATTGCGCGTGAACAGCTCACCTGGCGTGGACGACATCAAACCGAAGGCATTGAAGATAGCGGCCATGAATCTTGCCGAACCATTAGTTCGGTTCTTGCTACGTTGTCTCGACGAAATTCGGGTTCCCACAATGTGGAAACATGGACTAGTCATTCCTATTTACAAAACTGGTAATCGTGCGGAGCCCCCGAACTACCGTCCAATCACTCTTCTCCGAGTTTTATCCAAAGTAATGGAAGGTATAATCGCAGAGTCGCTCATGGGATACCTTGAGATCAACGACATCCCAGTGTCACAGAAACATGGATTCCGCCGGAATCGGTCTTGCACTACAAACTTGCTTCTAGCCCGAGCAAGCTGGACAGAGTCAGCCGATGCCAGAGTGGGAGTCGACGTCGTCTACCTGGACTTCTCGAAAGCGTTCAATCGTTTGGACCTCCGCATTCTCCTGTGTAAGCTTCGAAGCTATGGAATCGGTGACTTTGTGCTCGGTTAGATCGGCAACTTCCTCACTCAATGTTAGCTGAATGTGAGAGTCCGCAGCTCAATTTCCGATCCAATTGTGGCACGTTTGTTCCTAGTATTCAGTAACGATCTTGCTAGTGTACTGCAGTCGAATTGCAGATGGTGTCAAAATTTGGCATGACATCAGTACAGTGGATGATCACATGGCGTTGCAAAGCGATCTCGACAGGGCTTATGCGTGGGTCATCGGATAATCCGCTCCAGTTCAGCGTGGCGAAGTTCAAAGTCTTGAGCATAGGCCATCGGCTTACCTGTGAATATCGACTTGGTGCCATGACCCCTGGTGAACACGACTTGCCCATTCAACATCAGTGCGTAACTACTGAGAATGCTGGCACGCTGGCCTGGCATTCCACCATCAATGCAGTCGTTCACACTCCTGTGGTCGGGCGAGGGAAATTTAGACAGGCCAACATCTACCATTGGACAGTTGGCAATTTAGTATGCTCTCGTGTCACCCTAAGCTGTTTATCTCGTTCACCGAGCTACGGTCTGAAACCGGACGTGACTTCTGAAACACATTGTACATCACCACCGATAATGTCAGCGTCTTCGATTTTTTAATGTGGAAATAGTCTTTCGCATCGTCGAGAAATAAAAGAGTTATTTATTTCAGATGAATAGTAGTAGGTGTTGAATGGTATAGGTGGAAATTCTTCACAGCTATACCTTTTTCCATTAAAGTTGGACATTCGGGCAAAACATTTAGGCCTGGGGGTCAACAGGGTTGCTCCTCCGGGGCAATCATTTTGAGTCTTCGGTATGCGGAAATGAACCACTCTCTGGCTTTGTAGGGGCTGTTTCATTGGCCAAGCGCCTTCAGCAAATAGGACCTCAGACGCACATCGGTGGCATGGACCCAACTGAGACGCCGCAACCGAAACATGAGCTCACACACCTCTGTGCACAGTGGACGGTGGTGACACCATGTGCGACTGTGTTCCTCTACCCACAGAAGGGCATGTAACCAATCAGCGCACCCCAAAGGCACAGACGATTGGAGGGTAGGGAAATAGGAAAACGAGCCGCAGCCAAATACATTAGCAGATTGCTTGTTAACTTGCAGTCATCGTAAACACCATGCTCCTGAGAGGACCATACGCTGTACACTCCATAGAGTTGAAAAATGTCATAATGAAAGCGTACGAGGAAGGAGAAGATTGGAGGCAGGTTGCTCGTACTCTGCATGTGAAGGTGAAAACGTGCCGCAATTGGATTCGATCGCACGAGTCCACGGAATCAATACGACCGCACGGAGGAGGTCGTCGCAGGGTACTTGGGGAAAGCCACGTAGATTCACTGGTGGAGTGGGTTTCTGCGGAGCCAACAATTACTCTCGAACTCCTTCGCTTGCGTTTAAAGGCGAAATTCGAAATAGAAGTCAGTCATAGCACTGTCTCAAGGTATTTGGACGGAAGACTGATAACTACGAAAAAACTGCACACCATTGCAGAATCCATGAACACCTTGGAGAACAAAAAGCGACGCAGATCGTTCGTACTGCAGCTCATGGATTATGAGGTCGAAGGGAGGCAACCTGTGTGGATCGACGAAACAAACTTCAACCTATTTTGTGGTCGCACCAGGGGCCGGTCTCTACGTGGCAGTCGAGCGCAATGTACGGTGGCGAACAGCCGTGGACCGAATGTGCACCTTGTCGGTGCCATGACCAAAAATGGCTTGATAACATGTACCATCTTGAGAGGTAGCTACAACAAGCAGCGATGCTCTGGGTGGCTGCGGGAAGTTCTCGATACCAACGGAGCAACGTTTGTGCGAGGTTGCGTTGCGGTTTGCGACAACGCACCCTGTCACACGAACCTGGAGCAAGTGTTTTCGGAGGACCGTTATCGCTCTGAGAGACTTCTACGTCTTGCACCATACTCTCCAGCACTTAACCCCATCGAAGGAATCTGGAGCATTATGAAGGCACATGTCAAACAGGGGATGGGGGGAAGATATGCCGAAATGCTCCGGGGGGACCCTCAAGGACTTTTAAGTAAAACACAGTGGCGGCTCCGTATTCTCGAGTGTGCGGTGTCAGAACGG